CTGAGTACTGCTCCCTTGGTACCTGCTGATACTGTTGCTGTATCAACCAGCTAAGTTGCTTGTGAGCCTGGATAGGAAGGTGGCATTCTTGTTAGCCTAGGAGAGGACACTCAGCTCAAGTACTGGATTCTGGTTCCTTAGCCTGGGTGGGAGCTGGCTGATAGGGCTGCAGACTAGCACTGCTTGGGAAGGACTACATTCTCTTGTGAAAAATGTTGGCAAAAATGTAAAAGAAATAAATTGTGCAGCCCTTTCCTACCCCCGTCCCCACCCCAAAACATGAACTCTGCATGCCTCATGTTTTTAGCAAAGGGAGAATTTTAAAAGAGAGAAAATGTGAATGTTCGAAAGAAAACTAGTAGTTGCTGTTTGGTCCAAAAGCCGTTTTGTTTGAAAAAAGTGTTGCTGGCAAATGTTCAGCCAGCCGCATGAGAGAACAGGAGATGGTACAGCCTTTCTCTTTGGTTTTTAGGAGTTATTCCTGAATCCAGGGCTCTGCCCCACTGCTCTGTGTGATGCTCACATTTTGAATGACTCTGATCTCTCCGCTCTCCTGTGGTTCGAGTGCAGTGGGCTCAGTGCTCCCTGCTACTAGCCCTGTGATGCCAGCACAAGTGACAGCCAAAGAGGATTCAGTATTAAGGCCTGGCTTTCCGATCCGTCTAAGCTACTAGAGCGGATCACAGGTGCCCATTTCTGCCAGTGTCATGCTGCTGAATGCAAGTGACAGGTTTTCTGGGCCTGGGCTGGTGTGTGGAGGAGGTCTGTGGTGAGATGAAGGCCAGATCAACCTTGTCAGCCATCTTCGGACCCACAGATAAGGCAATTGTGGAAGCCGATCATCCTCGACTGTGAGGGATTGCCAAAGAAGAAACTCTGTCCTTCCTGAGGGAGGAAGGAGATGGGAAATTGGTTTCAGGATGTAGAGTGAGAAGAACAGTGAAGGGAAAGGAGGGAAGCCAGGGCAGGGAGGGGGCAGTAGGGCTCTGGGTATCAGTGTGAGAGCAAGGAACTGGACTCTCCAGGTGTAAGCGGGAAAGCTCGCCTGCCTTTCAGCACAACCTTTCTGCTTTGCTTCAGTGTGCAGCTGGGAAGCATAGAAAGACTCCCACTTGCGGTGGAAACCTGGGCTGGGTCATCTGACTGGCTGTTCTACCTGAAGATGTCCCTGATGTGATAACTCTGGCTTGCATCCAGTCTGGCTCCAGAGCCAAGTCTGGGGCACTGGCACCATCTATGGGTTCTGGTTGAAAGTACATGTAGGTGACTTACGCTTGGAGGGAACGGCCATGGGGATTCCTAGCCAGGGCTGGTAGCACTGCCTGGCATTAGGGCTGCCTTATACTTCTCCATGTAACACCTGACTTTCAGTAGCTTATCGCTAAATTTTACCTGTTTGTGTGGAAATTTTCCAGGCCAGGTGTCTGCTTCTAGTTGAAACGTGTCAGGAAATTTTCAGGGAAAACCATTATTATTGCCTGACAAATTCAGGGAATAATACATTGTTTTATCCATGTAAACACCCCTGGCAACTTTTAATCGAGCAATTTCGCGACCTAATATTTTGAAGGGGGGAGTTGAAATTTTACTGTCTCCAGGAAAATCTGCCAAGATTTGACCAATTTTTAAGCTGTAACAGTGGGGACATGCACAGTAGATGTGTGCGTGTGTGTGGGTGTGCATGCACACGCGCGTGCACACATGGGCAAGTTCCACCCTCTGGATATTTAGTTACAACAAATCCTGAATGTTTATGCTGTGGACGTTGACATTATGACACTGCGGATGCTGGGCTCTGCTGGATGGGATGCAGCCGAGGGATTTCCAGGTTGTTTTCCCCAGCTCTGCCCATTGCTGTGTGACCCTTGATGAACCACTTCACTTATTTGTGTCCCAGTTTCCATCTGCCAAACTGGGATCATGCCCCACCCGTCTTTGTAAAGCTATTGGGGTTCTAGGTTGCAAGGTGGGGTTGGGTTACCAGTTATTAGCAACCCGGCGGTAGGCAGAGAGAGGGCTGGGATTTCTGAAGAGATACCTCGGAGGGTTAGTTACAGCTCGTAGCAGGCAGGAAGGGACATGCAGGCCTAGGGGCTTCCTTCTAGCTGTGTCTGCTGAAGCTGTTGCCAGTGGCATTTACACTAATGTCAGGCAAGGCGACAGCTGTCACCCTTCCCAGTCCATCATGAATGTCTGTTCTCAGATCTGGAATGGGAGTGTGGCCCTGGGGTGCCACAGTGTCTTTCTTCTTCCCTGCTTCTGCCCTTTCCCTTCTTCCTGCAATCTTTTTTAGATAATTGTGCAGACGGTAGTGACACCTGCTGGTAGACCATAGCAAAGGGCAATCTTTTTGCTAAAGATTTGGCTAATGCTATATAAATTATTAGCCTATGACCTCTGTAACCTTAACTGTGCTCCATGTCCAGGCAGATGGATTCACTTTAAGGTGAAGGAATGATGGGCATTCCTCCTATAACTTTGCAAACTGTAAAGCCAATACTCTTTTTGTAGCTGAAAGTGTAGCATTTGCAAAGCATCATACTCTTCTACTGTACCACCTTCTCAGATGCTAAACTGGTTGGCACTGGAAAGCTGCCAGCTGGGCTGCTGTATAAAGACCGAGGCAGGTTTTGTGTTACAGGCTGTAAACAAGATGTCAGTGGATTGGAGCCTTCAGCTTTCTTGTGTGATTTTGAGAGAGTCTTTCATTTCTTAAAGGTTTGATTCCCCCTCTTAACAACAGGACAGCAGCACTTACCCATCTGAAGCATGTCAGGAGGTACTTTGATGTTCTGGGGATGAAGGTGTGGTAAGTGTGTATTTCAGGGTGAGGAGAAATGAAACAATCTGCTTTAAACCTTGGTTTACTCAAATCCATTGTAACTGGCTCATTTGTCTGCTTTATCTAAATGTAATCTGAGGCCAAACTGTGATAAGTTTACTACCAATTTTATTAAGGGGAAGTGATTACCCATTTTATTCAGGGAAAGTGATTGCAGTTTAGCTTCACTTATTGCAGGGTGGGAGTGGACTCATTAAATGGTTATAACATATCGGCTAATATGTTCTCCCGAGTGATAAATCCCCCACCTCAAAGCGATAAAATGATTTAATCTGTCCAGAGCCCCTCATGTATAGTGAGTTAGGAGACAGAGTCAGTATTTAGGCATGGTCTGTCGTGATAGGGATGGTTGTTGGCAGGTACATGACTCCCACCCACCAGCTGCCTGGCTGTTTTCTCTATCCAGGTACTTCTATTTCTGGGATTCACCAGGGTAGCATGACTTTCTCAACAGGAGAGGGGAGAGCGTGTGTTTGTGCCGTGCTTCCACATCCCACGTGCCCAGCAGGTGAACGGGCCAGTGGAGGAGGGTTGGTGTCCAGTGGTCCGGACAAGGCCGGAGGAGCCAGGACCCAGATTCTGTTCCTGATGCTACCAAAGATTCATTGTGTGATTTGAGCAAGTCGTTCCCCTCTCTGTGCCTCAGCGTCCCCATCTGTAAAGCAGAGTTAGTAACTCGCTATTTCTCTGCTTTGTAGCAATGCGTGGGTGGGTGCAGGGGCAGGTCCCAGCTTCATTTTGAGCTGCCTGAGGGCTGTGGAAGTATGAAGCATTAATACAGGGGTGGGCAAAATGCGGCCCGCAGGCTGGATGCGGCCTGCCAGGCCATTCTATCCGGGCCATGGGGCCCCTAAAAAAATTTAGAAAATTAATGTTTATCTGCCCCTGGCTGCCTGTCATGCGGCCCTCGATGGCTTGCCAAAACTCAGTAAGTGGCCCTCACTCGAAATAATTGCCTGTCTCTGGATTAATAAGTAGCTATAACCATTAATTATGGGTCCTTCAGCTCAGGCCTGCTTTGGGCTATGGGGTATTAGAATCATAGATAATTAGGGCTGGAAGGGACCTCAGGAGGTCACATCTAGTCCAACCCCCTGCTCAAGGCAGGACCAGTCCCACCTAGATCATCTCAGCCAAGGCTTTATCTACCCAGGTCTTAAAAACCTCTAAGGATGGAGACTCCACAGCCTCTCCGGGTAACCTGTTCCAGTATTTTACTACCCTCCTCATGGGAGAGATTTTCCTATATCTAACCTCAGCTTCCCTTGCTGCAATGTGAGACCGTTTCTCCTTGTTCTATTATCTGCCACCACTGGGAACAGTCCAGCTCCATCCCCTTTTGAGCCCCACTTCAGGGAGCTGAAGTCTGCTATTCAATCCCCCCCTCAGTCTTCTTTTCTCCAGGCTAACTAAGCCCAGTTCCCTCTGAAGCTGCTCAAATTTAAAGCTGATTTAATTGCTCCTATGTCGAGGGCTCTTGGCTGTGTCTTTGGGCTGCTTTGTGATGAGATGATGACACACTGAGATCCCCCTAGCTCCATGCAGCCTTGGAAAGGCTGCAGGCTAGAAGAGCTTCCTGACGCAGCATGGCTGAGCTCATCCATTCCCCCCAAACCACCTCAGCAGGTGCCTCTGTCCTCAGGAATGACCTGTAGACAAGTAATCCAGTCCGCGGACTTGGCTAGGGCAAAACCTCTGTGCCTCTTGAGTGTGAGCAGCTGTGCTCTGCTAACACTAGATGGCAACAGATTGCTGCAGTAGAGAGAAAGACTCCCTGGAAAAAGGGGATCCAGAGCTGCTGCTGGAGGGTCAGTCGCACAACCAAGCCTTCAGGAACTGGGCACTTGAGGGGCTCCTCACAGGGCCCTCAAGGAGCAGGTTTAATACATGACCCCTTAAAGGGCTGAGAAACCCAATTATCTGGCCTCACCCTTGGCTAAATGGGTGCCAGTCATTCAGGGGGTGGGTGGGACAAGGGAGGAGTCCATGCCTTCACCTCTGCCAGGGGCCACGAGCTCGGTTTGGACCCAGTCTTCTTTGCACTACAAGACATGTCTGATGAGCTCGTGGCTGTGAGATGGGAGATGAAGGACAGGGTTTTTGTGCTGACACTTGGCACCGTTCCTAAGGCCAGCGGGCATGCAGCGCTACAGTCATTCTGGAAGCTGCTCTGAGCACAGCTCAGACATGGCTAAATCCCCATCGTCAGCCTTCTCAGTCCCATGCAGGCCACTTTTATAAGCTATAAAACAGCGCAAGAAAAGGAGTCAACTCCCACACTTCATTGACATGCACCGAAACAGGGAGTTGCTAACAACATGCTGATTAACAGCACATAATTCTTTCTTTCCTGTTCCTTCTTCCACCCATCTCTCCCAAGGTGTTTAGCAGACCATTATAATCTCACACTCACAACTTATCTTGGAGACAACAGTTTCTACCCCCTAGTTAAAGATGGGAAAACTGAGGCACGATAAGGTGAAATCCAAGGATATAAGCCAGTGAGCAGAGAGCCCATTCCTACTGACCCAGAGACCTTACATTTAGCCAGGAAAGGGAGCAACTTCAGCTTGTTAATTCCTTGCACCAAATTTTGGGAGGACCTATTAGCAGGGAAGGAGTGAACCTCTTATGAAGAATAGATCTCTGGCAAACTCTGCTGTTGTATTTGCCTCCATGACTCCCTGCTGCAGCGAGGCTTGAGGGTCGCGGGCTGACCATGTGCTGTGTTGAACTGTGTTCCCTCCTCTTAGTTCTTCATTCATTATGTTTTCATTTCATGTTTCTAGGTTATAGAACTTGCTCTGGTCCTTTAGATAAGTGTATGGGTTTCGGGACATTCAGAAAGCTCCATTCTCATAAGAGAAGTTGGATATTAATATATCTGTGGTGATAGATAAACTCATTGAGTTCCTGAACCCACAGTCCCTGGAGGTACCCAGGACGTGTTTTAGGTGGACCTGGGATCTGGTGCTCTCTGAACAACCCATATAACCCTTTCCTAAATTCTTTCTAGCCCTACACATTTAGGTCAGGAGAAGGGAGTGGAGTATATAATGACATTCACTTTGTTGAGAAGAGACGTACTTTTCCCACATTTGACACTATGGGTGCCCATACACATGCTTGGGGGAGGGGGGTTGTTTTAATTGGAGCAGTTCCCAGAAAGCTGCTTTAATTAAAATACCACAGTGTCACATATACTAAGCCCCCGCGCATTTAAAAATGCCCTCAGGATGCTTTAACTAAAGCTCATTCGACCAGTTTTAGTTAAAGCGCCCCGGCAGCCATTTTTAAACCCACAGGGGCTTAGACACATGGGATGCTTGTACACATGATGGGGTTTTAGTCCTTAGGGTTGCATTCTATGCCCCCTACATTGAAATGGTGAGTTTTTAATTTAAACAGTGTGTTTTATTTTTCTGTCACAGTATATATGTTATTGTCCTGGCGGCCCAGTTGCCTGCTGAAGGCAGACAGGGTGAGGGGCCTGATCCCTTTTTTCTGTGGAGCCTGCCTGCCTCTCCCACAGCTGGGGGGCAGGCTGACTAATGGCTGCAGTGTTCCAAGTTGCAGCATTGCAAACTAAAGGACATTGGGATGTAGTTTAGTTTACAACAAATCAAACTTATTGAAAACCCACAAAACTCATGTATGTGTAGTGTGTGACGCCATTAAGCCACACACAGGGAAATTTTCGTCATGTGTACATGTGATGATGCCACAATGTACAGGCACCCATGATGCTGCAGCAATGCTAGAGTGTTCTAATTAGAACACGTTGGAGCATGTGTATAGGCACCCTATGAAGCACTGTGGCACAGAACCCTATCACTTGAGCAAAAGAAATAATTCTGCTAACCGATAGCAGTAGAAAGCTGCTCTACTGTAGTGGTCTTCAGTAGTAGCTGGGCCACTAGAGTATAGCAGCCTTCTACTGCTATCCATTAGCAGCATTATTTCTTCAGCTCAAGTGATGGGGGTCTGTGCCACAATGCTAAAGTTTCCAAGTTCCTGCTGTACTTACAAACCTGAGGTGTGGGATAGATGTTGCTTGTCTAACACATGCTTAGCATCGTGCTTTATTTTGCCTTGAGATCCTGAGATAAATGTGGTTTTCTTGTTGCTACAAAAAGAGCAGGGTTTCACTGAAAGACACAAACGCTGCTCCCTTGCCAGCTCTGCTCTATTTCCTCTTCCAGGTTCTGCGCATTCTCTGCTTGATGTTGTTATGAAGGTTTTCCCTCCCCTGGTTTCTGCTTCTGCCCTGTAAGATGTCACAGGGGCAAAACAAAGATGGCATCTGGGCAGGTTTCACAGCAGCTGTCCTGAGCAAGGATGGAAGGCATCTGCCTGGTTTATCAGAGTAGCTGGTGCTCCTGAACCAGTCAGTAATCAGCAGGCAGGTATGCTACGCTAATCTAGGCTATACTCTAAAGTAATGGAGTTCACCATATTCTTCGCAGGTCCCAGCCAAACCCTGGCAATGGGTTCTAGGTAGACTTAGCTGAATTGCTTGTTATGAAAAGCTCTCTCTCTGACAGATTTGGCCCTTTTTTCCCCACTTGAAAATTGTCTGAGAGCAGAGCATGGCATTTACAAAACTGTTGTTTGCCAAACACACTAAAGCCGGGGAATCTTTTGGAAACGGTGTGCCACAAGCATCCCTTCCAGTTGCACGATTGGTTAACGGAGTCAGCTGGGGTTGGTCCTGTTTCCTGATTGGATGAGTTGCTTTGGCCCAAGAGGAATTTTGTTTGTGTTAAGAAGCAAATATGATTTTGTGGTGAAATGGCTTGGGGACAGGCATGGCGTGGTTGCCGCACAGTTTTGCATGCACGGCTGGTGACAGAGAAAGGGACACGCATGCAAAGGTGGCAAAATCAGAGTATGTTCTCAGAATTTATTTTTTTTTAAATTTGTATCCACGGCTAAATTAGCCAAAACTAATGCCAAATCCAAGTGTCCAGAACCATAAGTGGCCCTACTACCAGCAAACATCCTCCACCCACATCCGAGGTTTCAGATGTCTCCAAAATCTTTGGCAGGCATCCTACTTGCAGGCCCAAGCCTGGAGGCTTGGGGTTCGGATGCCCCCGAGTTTTGCTTGTCCTCAGCCATACGGCCCTCGGAGCAAGCCTCCCATTTCCACAAACCAGGTGTAAAGCTGCTGCACCTCAGTGGGTCCTAAACTAAGCCAGAAGAGCAGTTCTCCTGTGATGTGCTTTAGGAAAACTGCCTTCTTGGACACAGATATATGGTATTTCCCCTACCAGTAAGAAGCCACTACACTTGTCTTGAGCCTTCAAGAAGCTGAGAAGTACACCTGGATTGCTGCCCTTGCTACTCACCCAGCTCTGAGGGGCAGGGAGGCCAGGGGGCTGTCTGTGTCACCTGCTTGCACTAGACAAGGGTGAAATTCTGCCACACTTGCAAGTGGAATAAAATGCTGATGGTTATCCCTTAGCTTGCTCCTGTGGCCATATGGCTGAGGGCAAGCAAAAACTCAGGGGCATCCAAACCCCAAGGGCTTGGGCCTGCACATAGGATGCCTGCTGAAAGATTTGGAAGTATCTGAAGCCCCCGGCTGAAAACTTTGGGGTGGAGGATACTTGCCGGTGGTAGAACCACATAAGGTTCTTGAATGATTCAAAGGATTTAGAACTGATCTGGCTGACCTGGCTAATTGGACCTGGGACATAACAATTTTTCCTTAAAAATAATAATAAAAAAAAAAATTAAAAAATGATGATGGTTATCAAGCAGGGGAGGTACTTTGAGGTGGGTTTGGGCCCAGGTAGTTTTACTTGCGTGGAAAGGGAGATACCTTTCTCGGCCTTGAATGTCTTGGTGTAGTTAGAGGGTGGAGGCCTGTCCCTTGCAGCATGGGCAGATTGACTCTTGCAAAAGTCTACAAATACCTCCAAATGCAAGCATCTTGGCTACACAGTTTATGATGATGGAGGATTGCTCTTGGGCTTTCCCTCTAGCTTGCTCTTTTGGCTTTTTTGGCTAGAAGCAAGCAAGATTAGTGGGCATATGCAGAGCTGTCCCTTGGGTATGGTGAAACAGGGTGACCACCTCGGGCCCTATGCTTTGGAGGGTCCCCACAGAGCTGGACAGAGTGACCAAAGCCCTTCCCGTGGGGCCCGCCTGGAGCTGGCAGCTCAGCCCCGGGCTGTGGAAGAAGCATGGAGATGCCTGCTTCTCTTTGCGGGGGTACCACCGCCCCATGCAGTGGTAAGGGGGCCCCGCACCTCTCTAGAGTCAGCTCTGGGCATATGAACTCTAAGGCCTCCAGGTTTGGGCCTTGCAGATAGGATTCCTGCCATGGATTTGGGAATATGTGAAGTCCCAGACTGAAGAGCCTGGGAAACAGGATACTTGTCGGTGGTAGCACTCACAAACTTGAACGATTGAGCTCTGCTCAGCTGATAGAATTAGGAACGGATTTGGCCTGAGACACAAATTAAAAAACAAAAATTATGATAGCTAAATTGTATGTGTTTTATGGACTGCAATGCGAACTGGAACAGGGTGTGTGTGTGTGTAAGATTTAGGTGTGCGTATGTATGTGTGTATACATTTGTCATATATATTTATTAAGATATATATAGGGGGTGTGTGTGTGTATTTATATTTAGGTATATATATTTGCAAAAAAGGAGGGAAATGCACATTCCACTCCTCTTGCTTTCCAGGCGCTCTGGCCTCTGCTGCAGGCAGTGCCTCTGGATTCCAGCTCACAGATGGTACAGACAGGGCCAGACACAGGCATGGGTGAACCAGGCAGCCACCCAGCGCTTGAACAGAATGTGGGCCCAAAAATGGTGATTTTTATTGTTACTATTATTATTATCTCTGGCAAAAGGGGGCCAATACTAAAAGTTCACCCAGGGCCACCAGAATCTAGGTACAGTGCTGGGTACAGATGGAAAGTTTGGTCCTGTCCCTCTCCCAGGCAATGAAGAGCTGTTTCAGGGGAGGTGGGGATGCATTTCCAGAGGGCTTTGTCTGATCCACTTTTAAATGTTCCAGTGCTAGGATTTACTGGCTGAAGCTGCTGCTGTATCATATGGGCTCAAAGCCCAGGGTACTGTGGCCCCTTAATAGTGACTTTGCTGGAGTAAAGCAGCCATAACATAAAGGCACTGTGAAAGCCCCATGTTGGACATACACTAGACATGGAGAAAGGGTCAGGAGACCAGCCCTGTGGCACCTCCTGGTCCTGGGGGCACTGCCAAGTGTTTTGGGAGGTGAGTGGATCATTTGGGACAGAAGTGACTACAAGGGCCATGGCAGATCTCAGTGTGCAGGCTGTGCTGGATGCCTGGCTTGCTCTGCAGTCCCAACACTGGAAGAAAGCACAGAGATAGCACAAAGCTGTCCGCCCTCTGTGCCATGGTAGTCCCAGCACAGGGACTTGCCAAGCCCAGAGAGGCTGCAGGCTGTGATTTCAGGTGCCCTCAAGGTGAGATAAGATAGCTGGGTCTCAGCTCCTCTCCTCCTGGACCCTGTGCAGCTTGCAGAACCCACCTGCCTGGCTGGCCCTCCTTGGTCTGCCGGGGAGAGAAACTGATCCCCTGCCCCACTGGGCCAGAGGGGCTCAGGGGTTGGGCTGCAAAGCCCAGCCCCAAAGGCACCAGCTTCTCTTTCCCCCTCACAAGGCATCCCCCCTCCTTCTCTGTCCAGCTTCCCAGGCCAGCCCCCCTCTCCTCCGCCCCCTCCT